CCAAAAGCTGATATCACAGACCATGCATTCTATTTATGGTTTTGCAAGATATTCAAAGGAAGAGCTCCACATAGCATGGTCCTACTCACGCCTCTGAAAAGCACTAAAAGAATGGCAAAGCTATAGCCTCAAACTAAAAACATTTCAGTTATATGCTCCTCTTATTCATTTCTCATCAGTTCCCACTTTCATTGACTTCTGATTAACTCACAGGTCATCACATGAGATAGTAGGCTTTCTACTCTATGTGCTATTTTGTAAAAGATCATTTTTGATGACCTGTGTTTTATGTGTGTAAGACCAAAGTATATTCTGCACTTTTTAACAATCTCCAATGACTTTCCATCATACTCAGATAAAATACTATCTCTTTGCTTGCCTGTGGCTTACAAACTCCTGTGTGAACTACAAAATCCTGTCATTTTTCTCCATATCTCCAATCACTTTCCTTTTTATGGATTCCTTCTTTATCCTCACACATGCCAAGTCCTGGCCCTTCCTCTTTTCTAGGACACTTCCTAGAGCTTACTCTGCCTGCTCAATGTGTACAGTATCTGTTCCTTGAGCTCTGTCTCTAGACACTCATCAGCCCCACCCCTGATGAGTGTTAGTTCCAGAAGGCAGCCCTTCTCTGTTTTTCTGGCTGTTCCACTCTAGGGTCAAGAACAGTAACTGGGGCAGAGAAGGGAGTAGGTGAATATTGGCTGAATCTTGCTGGATGGGACACACGGCACAAGCCCTCAAACATCATTTGGTTGGAGAGTCAGTTCCTGAAATGATTTACTTCCTTCCTTGCTAGCAATAATGTTATTCATCACATAGCATGTAGCCAGGCTGATGGACCCAATTCAAGAATTCGACCACTCACTATTTTCCTTGGTTTTCTGATTGCAACAGAACTCAACAAGATAGTCAACAGGAAAAATAATATTTCCAGCACAGCCTGTTAGAGGTCCCTGGAACATTTGAAATGTCCACAATGTAAATACAGTGGTACACAAAATACCTTAGTCTAGAATTTATAGCTTTGTTTTCCAACGTGGAGACAACTTATAAAGAAGGAACATTACTGCCCCTTTAATCATTTTGAAATATTTTTCTCCTTAGATTCATATTTTCTCTAAAGGGAAAAATAATCTCGTCATTGACCATGTGCAATGCACAGTTGTTCAATGGACACAGACTTGAATCTTCACTTCAAGAAGATGTAGCTACCTGTTTTACATGTGAGGAAGTTGAGGCAAAAAAAAACCTTGTTCAAATGCACACAGCTGTTAAATGGAAGAGACAAAAGTAAAACCTCTTTAAGTCAATCTCAAAGGACATCTTCTTCCACTCCTTGGAGATTCTTCCCAAAATAAAAATGATCCAACATCTTGTATGGAGCCTGCTTAATCCCAAGAGTCCTCCCGTTACTCCACTTAAAAATAAGTCAAATCATATCTCTCTGAAACATCTACTGTACCTTCCAGATGTGGGAATGACATCCCAGGTCTCTAGGGCAGGAAGCAGGGAGGAGCCTGGCCCGAAACTTCCCTGAACAGATCTCAGCAAAGGAAGCTGGGGGTTTTGTCCTCATATCAAAAGCCTTGGAAATTCAAGCTACCAGGTATTGTACATGTGTGTGTGTGCATGCATGCACACCAGCACATGAACACACACACACATCTAGCTACAGACACTGTCTCCTTAAACCCGTGCAGCAGCACTATGGGGCAGGTGCCATTACTCTCTGTGTGTATAGGTGAGGGCACATGGACACTAGGACAGGCTAAGCAATGTCTAAGATCACACAGCTAGTGCATGACCTGAGCTATGGCATGTGCTCTTGAGGCTTTGGTTTGAAGAGGATGCAATGGAGGAATACTGGAGAGAGCAGGACACAGGGCTTGGGTTCAGATTGCCACTTACTGGCTCTGGGGCTGGAATACAATCTCTCGTCTCTCTGGCTTTTGTTTCATTATCTTGAAAATGAAAATGTTGGCTGAAATCACCTTCCGTGTTCTGATTCTTGGAATCAGATCTTAAAATTGAACCTTCCTCTCACAATGCAGATTTTAGTTTCTCTGTCTTCTCCCCACCACTTCCCTCTAGTCCTTTCTCATAGGGACACTGGCCATATTTCAGGGATGAAAACCTCATAAATAATCCAGGTGAGCAATTAGTAGACCACACTATACTGTGAACAATTAGCAAGTCTAAAAGAGTGATAATGCACCGTTTTGCTTACTAGCTATGCCAAGAAAGCTAGTATATGCCACTAGAGATGGAGGCACGAGACAGATGGCTGAAAATGTGACGTGCACACATATATTTTAAGTCTGCAGATTTGAGCCAGAAATAGATGGGAGGTGTGAGCGCTCCAGGGCAGAGTGAGAGATGTCTTTTCAGGCAGAAAAGATAAACTTGCCAACAATTAAATGGGTTAGTTTCTGTGAGTCATTCATTGATAGGAGTCTCTACTACAGAGACAGTGGGATCATCTGGTCTTGGTGGGGCGGGAAGACTCAGAGCGGGGCGATGTCAAGACCACGTTTAGATGGACGAGAATAACAGGACACTAGAGCACTGCTGTATGCTAGGCCCCCTTCTGGACACAACTCGATTCTCATAGTGACCCTCTGACATAAGCACATTGATTTTGGACTCCCAGCCTCCAGAACTCTGAGAAAAAACATTTCTGTTGATGTAAACCACCAGTTTGTGGTACCACACTATGGTCCTACGACATCTACATGGTGGGGTGGGGGCATCTTGGTTCTGCCTGGAATTCCATGGATTCCCTGTGTTTTCATTTTCCTTGACTGGTTCTCATGTAGTAGATATATTCCTTATTTTTTTTGTGTCCCTATGCACTTTGGGGTCCACAGATATCTGCAAGTCTTTTAGGCTTTTGATGAACTTACTTCAGGAATGCCATAATCTATGCTACAATCGCTGCCCTAAGAGGGAGGCAGGCAGAGAAGGAAATGCAGGAATTCACATTTTGGGTGTGAATTCCCCAAGCCCAGGGACTTGGGAGAGGCTGGCAAGGGTTATTCTGCCAACACCTGCCCACACTTGGCCACTCAGTCTGGTGGAGGGTGAACACTGGGTCACCAGAGCTTCTTTCAACTCTGCCCAAACCATGGAGTTTTCATCGCTCCTTCTCACCTGAATGTCCTCACCGAAACCTCAGCCTGACATTTACTCTCCTTCCCACGACCTGGAGGCACTGGCTTGAATCTAAGTCATGGATCAGGCTGAAATTATAAGCAGTTCTGAGCAAAAAAGGCACCTGTTTGAGTGGAAAGAGAGCTCTGGCTTAGAGAAGTGACGGGTTGGTCCTGCTTCATAACTAACTGCTACCTGTCTTTGGGGGAGTCCTGTGGACACCCATCTGTCAAGGGCATGCTTCACCTGTAAATAGAGATGACCATCCCAACCTTATCAGCCTCAGAGGGACTGCGGGCATCTTTATGAAGTGCTATATAAACTGAGTAATCATGGGGGGGGCAGGTAAATAACAAGTGCCTAGGGAAACTGGACCATCTTAGGAGTTGTATTCATTTCTTGTGGCTGCTGTAACACATTACCCCAAACTTGGAGGTTCAAAGCAACTGAAATTTACATTCTGCAAATGAAGATGGGGACGGAACTGTGCTCCCATGCAGATGTTGGGGAGAAGCCCTTCCTTGCCCTCAGCTCTGCAGGACTCCAGGCTGGCATTTCTCCCTGGTGGGTACGGCTCTGTCTCTGCACTCAATTCCTTCTCCTCATCCCTGTATGTCAGATCTCCCACTCGTGACACTTGTGCTTGGATTTTAGGGTTAATAGGGGTAAGCCAGGACAATTTAAATCACATCTGAAATGTCACCGCTACACCAAGGCAAGCTTTACAGGCTCCAGGGGTTGGGACCTGGTATCTTCCGGTGGCTGTTATTCAGCCTGCTCTGTGGGTATTGCCATCTACCATGGGAAATCACCTGATATTTGTAAGACTTCCCTTAGTGCAGGGTAACCAGGGTAAAGCCCTGTGATGAGGTCCCAAATACTATTGATACCAACCCTATGAGGGGAGGCTCTTAGCCTTACTGTGTAGTGTGGGTCTGGAGGATCAGAGTGCAAAGCAGATTGCACAGCCCTAAACTGGCAAGTCGTGGGCTGGGCCAGTGTGGAAGTTGGCATTCTTATACCCCATCTCTTACACCTGCAGCCCGTGCAACATCCCAGGGTGTGCGTGACGGTGCCCGGGCGCCCTATGACGAGCCTTGCTTCCACTCTAGATGAAATAAACTTCCTGCTCTGGTGTCCTTTGGAGACGTCAGTGCTGACATTCTGTTCCCTGGGGTGCCGGCAGGCCCCAGCAGCTGCTCTGCTCCCTGAGTTTAGTTGATGGAGCATGGGGACCTAAAGTTTGCAATTTTAAATCATTCTTTTGACTTCAAGATACAGTCTGTGCTTCTTCCCTTATTGTTGGTTTTCTTTTACTTGCACCTTTTATTATTGTCCCATGATGATCAATTTACTGCTCTTGAGACTTTGATTATACAGTACATTGAAATACCTTACTCTGGGAAGGAAGAACGGTCAATGAATGAGAGGTAAACAAAATTTTCCTGTTGTTCCTTCCAAGAAGACCCTTGTCTCCTTGGAAAGTCATTTTCTTACATTAAGCGAAGTGGTCAGATTTTAGAGGTACGCGCAGGCAGGACTGATAAGAAGCCTGCTCCCCAAGCCAGGCCAACCAGGTCACTGCAGCTGACGCAGCATCCCAAAGTGCGTCCGAGTCCGTTATGGCCCCACCTCCCACGTCACTGAGACCCAGCAGCCGCCACCACCGCACCTGCTGCGATGATGACACAGACGCCCAGAGAGGGCGAGGCCTTGACCGGGCCACGGAGCAGGACTTGCACCTCGACCCCACCCTCCCATCTCTGCTTCCCCGCGGATCACAGACGTGAGGGCCCTGCCGCGCCCCTTTGTGTGCCAGCATGTGCCACGCCGCCCGGCCGCCTTACCTGCTGTGGCCGTAGCTCTCTGGAGCGTGGTACAGGAAGACGTTTCCTCGGGCCCCGCGTGCCCAGTGGGCGGCCATATCGATCACAGGGCAGGTGATAAAGTAGTCCCTGCAGAAAGGGGGGTGGGGGAGCCTCAGCACCATGAGCACGGAGCTCTAAGAAGCCGGTGATGGACCCTCCCAGGCAAGGGACCCTTCGGCCATCGAGCATCCTGCCCAGCCTGCAGCTGGCTCCGCTGTCAGCTCCTGGTCCGGACTGCCCTACCCCAGCTCTGGTCACACACCAGAGGCCCTCCAATGCCTCTGAGCACCAAGAAACCCAGGGCAAACATCTTCCTCAAGGCCGTGTCCCTCACTGTCTCACCCTGGGCGCTCAATGCAGCGCCCCATCCCCAGGGGTGTTGCTAATGTCTGGGGAACATTTTTCTTGGTTACCGCGGGAAAGGTTTCTACTGGCATCTAGTGGGGAGGGGCCAGAGATGCCACTAAGAACCCAACAAGGCCCAGGGCAGCCCCAGCAAGGCACTACCCTGTCCAGAATATAAGTGAGGAGGCTAGCAACCCTATCTTGGATGCCCAATGCTTCACATTTGCTCTTCCTCTGTGGGGGATGTGAATCTACTCCTGAAGCCCCAGCTTCTAAATCACACAGCACACAGTCCTGCTTGAGGGGTGCTGGGCATGTGGTATGCAGGGCTGGCCTGGGGATTCACGCAGGTCTTGGCTGGCCTGGGGCCCACTCAGGATCTCCTGCATCTCCTTGCACCTCCATCTCTACAACTGAGAATTGGGGCCACTGAGACCCACCCTGCTAAGATTTTATAATCCTTAAGTCCATAATACCCAGGAAAGTCACTCAATGGGGAGCATGTCACCCCCTTTACGGCAGGTGGACACCCCCTCCTTTGGTGAGTGCATCAGGCGTCTCAAGTGCTTTTGGGGAAGGCTGGGAGGGAGGGTGGGGCCAGTGTGTAGGTCATCTCATGGGCCCCCTGAGAAGTGCTGAGCAGGACAGGGAGAGTCACACACCATAGCCCCAGGGAGGCCATGGCCTCAGTCTGACCTGGAGAGGAGAGAGCCTGAGCTAAGAAAGGACTGGAGTCCACCTCTTCTAGGAAGCCTTCCTTGGTTACCTGCCACACCACAGACCTCACAATAATGTGAGGAGTAAGAACTCCTCAATGCCAGTCGAAAGCAAAGCTGGGGCAAGGGTGCAGGTTTTCTAGACTCTAAACCTGAGCTCTTTCCACAACACAGATCTGAGTCAGTCCCGCCTGGTCTGAGGCTCCAGGGTCTGGGACTTGGACATCTGTGAGTTCTTACGGTGCCTCCCTACAAGCCTGGGCCTCCAGAAATAGCTGCTGGCTGCTTGGTTCAAAGCTGGAGTCTCCACTGCGGGGAAAGTGGAGTCTTATTGGTCCCAAGATCCCGGCAGGAGCACAGAGTCTATTCTGAGCTAGTGACCCCTGCAGGGAAACCACAGATACCTGGGTGGGGAGACCACGCAGGACAGTGGGTGGAATGTTCTTCCAGCTGCGTCCAGTTCATCCCAGGTTCTGTCCTCAGGGACAAGGAGCAAAGGCTAGGGTGGCCAGACTCGGGAGAGAGGGAAGGAGCTAGAGAGTAGGAGATGCCCCATTTTCTTCCTGTGCAGAGGGGGAGCCCACCAGGGAAACAGAGCATGTCAAGGAGCTTGTGGCTGACATGAGAGCTGGCACCCCATGGTCTCATGCCAGGGGTCTACAGGCAGAGAGGGCGGGGGCCCTGGCTGTTAAGTTCCTATCAAAGCATATTCCCTGAGCTCCCGAGGCCACGCACTCACATGCAACAGCTGCCATGGGAGGGGAGACAGCTGCTCCCCATGAAGTGTGGGACAGTGCTGAGAGAGAGGTGCTCTGTGGACAGCAGAGCCTGCAGGGGTGGGGGCATTCATGCACTGTGCTGGGGTGGGGCTTGGGGAGATGTCCCCAAGGGAGGGAGCCTGAGTAATGCAGGGGGACAAAACACATGGCCAGTGAGTGCAGCACCCCAAGAAAGTGGCTGTGTGGAGCCCTATCAGGAGCGTTGGACCTGCTGATGTTTTCGGGGCAACATTGGGCAGCAAGTCTTCCCCACGTTACATCTCTGCTTCCATGTGTGGGGTGCACTCTGCGCCCCCTGGGGGAGCTTGGAAAATACTGACGCTGCTGGGCCTGTGCATTGCCCACAAAAGCCCCCGCCCTTGTCTCTCCCAGGTCGAGAGGGAGAAGGCTGGGCTGGCGGAAGTGGGGCCAGGCCAGGGTGAGCGGCTGGCTGGGGTGGGCAGGAGGTCGCGGCATTCCCAGAGCTTTGCTTCTTGGCACAGGACACGCCAAGGCACTGTAGCTGTGCCTCCTGGAGGCAAGTTGGGGTCACCCCTCATTTCCCCCTTGGTGGGCCGCCCCCGCCCCGGCATTGTAGGCAGAAGGGATGTTACAGAGAGAAGCACAGCGCCTGAAAGGCCAGGGCATGGCCGGGCTGCCTCACCCACCGAGTGGCGTTCTCCAGGGCCCTGGAGAAGGCGGCGTAGTCGTCCTGGGAGTGCTCCAGGGAGTAGTACCACTCGGCAGCCGCCCGCACGCCCGCGCCCGCGCCCGCGCCCGCGCCGCCCAGGGAGTTCTGCAGCGCCTGGTAGAAGGCCGTTTTGCTGCTGGTCCGGCCTTGACTTTCCTCAAATTGCTTTAAAAAAGAAAAAATAATGTGAAAACTCCCCAGATTCTAGAAGGCCAAGTCAGTCTCCCTGGAGTCCTTGGTCCGGGAGTTTCGCCCCGGGAAGCAGTGGGACGGGGCGCGAGGGCCCGGGAGCCGAGCTGGCTGCCGCTGCCCAGCCCTGAGGTCCGTGTCCTCCTCTTCGGGCGGGCAAGGCGCGGGGGGCTCCTCTGCTAGGACAGCGGCAGTCCCGGGAAGGGGACACACTTGGGGGGCGGCCATTTCCCCATTACTTGCTTCCCTGCCGCCGCCCCTTCCCGGCCCACTGGAACGGCGCCTCTCCAGGTCTGCGGGCGTCCCATCCTGCAAGGCCAGGGCCAGGGCCAGCCTGCGTCCCGCACTGCGGCCAGGCCAGGCGGCCCTGGGCCTCTGCTTCCCTCAGAAATCCTTGTGCTCCTGGCTTTGGTGACATCCCCTCCTCCGGGTTTCTTCCAAGGCCGTGTTCTGGCTCCGACCCCCTCAACTCCCAACTGCAGCCCATGCTGTACCCCGAATCCCGCTGTTTCTCACAGTGCCCCATGCCCGATGGCCTCGTTTGCCTTAACTAGCTGGCTCCCTGGGCCTCGTCTTCCTCGGTCACCTCTCCTTTGTCGACTTCCCCAGAGCTGCCACTGTTCTTTTTTTTTTTAAATAAAAAGATGAATAATGAAATCACTACCTCGCTTAAAGCGCAGCGACAGCTACCCCCTGGGCATGGAATGAAACCACTTCCCGAGGCTGCGAGATGGCCCCAAACAGGTCCCCAACAATCTCCCCGTCGAACGCTCCAGCCAATATCCCCAAAGTTTCCAGCACGCTGGCTGCTGGGCCCCCGCCCAAGCTCTGCCTCAGGGCCTTTGCACTAGCTCTTCCCGAAGGCGGCCCTTGTCACGCGAGTCCCGCTCCACACACCCCCCCAACTTCCCTGCGAAAGCATTTGGCCCGTTGCGCCACTTCCCTCCCGTTGCCTTTCGGTTCTCGTCAGCACCCCGCCCCGAGTCTGCAGTCTCAAGACCTGAATGCATTTGCTCACACATCACCCTCGCCCGGACCCCACCAGAACAGAAACTCACAAGCCAGGAGCTCGGTCTCTCCTGGCTAAACTTTCCCCGGCGTCTAGAGGAGAGCCCCCTAATAAATGTGTATTGAATTAAAGCAGGGGGGGCTCCTGCTTCTGCCATTCAGCGCGCGCGGTCAGGGGCGAGGGTCCAGCTTCCCCGTCATGCCCACAGCCCACCATAATTTTAGGGTCCATGAAAACTTTTTCCTTTAAATTTCTTTTAAAATAATATGAAAATTAAAATGATAACACATTTACAATAATGAATCCAGTCTGGCTGACATTCATCTCTCACCAGGACAGTCATAAAATATAATTTTTACTATGGCGGGGAGTCAACCCCTCGGATCCCCACCTTGCTGGGCCACATGGTGGGTGGGATTAGACGAGGTGATGGGGGCTCTGGGGAGCCAGGCAGCCCCAGAGCGGAGCCCTGCTTGGAGGTCCGCTCAGAACGCAGCAGGAGACAGGCAGGCAGGGCGGGTCTCACGGAGCCCGCTGGAAGGATAAAGAAACTGCAGCTCGGGCTGGGTAAGTAACTCGACTAAATGGCACGGCTGAAGCCAGAACTGAGACCCCTTTTCTGATTCCAGGTCCTGGGCTCCCTAGAGGGCACTGCACTACCCAGGACCAGACCCTCACACCTGCCCACCCCTGGGTGCACACAGTGCTTCTTTTCAAGAAATTGCGTGCACCCTGGGACTCCTGCAGCTCCGCCGCTAGAATCTATCACCAAAGGCTTCATTTCCCATGCTGGGGCTGGTGCCAGCGCCTGGGGCTGCCAGGTGCCGCGTTCCAACTCAGGCAGCCCCTCCGCCCCTCCCGCTGGCAGCTCCCCCGGCTCGTCCACCTGCTCCTGGACCAGGCCACTCCCGGCCAGGCTCAGGGCAGGGCTGCGCGGGGTTTCTGATCTCCCCTCGGTTGGAGATGCTTGGAGCGGAAGCAGAACATTGCATCTTGGAACGAATCTGTTTTTGATCATGCAAATGAAGGCCCGGGTAGTGTAGGCAGACTGTCAGTTTCACCAGTTAGGAAGAGAGAGAAAAGGGGGAAAATTCCCCGCCACGGCAACGGATGAAGAATTTCAGCAGAAAGCTGCTACTTCGGAAGACCAGATCCTTCTCCGTGAACGGAGCCTTTGGAGGCGTCTCAGCAGCCCTGATGCGCCACGGGTGGGTAGGTTGTCAACTTGGCAGGCGGGGCTGGGACTGCTGGGGGGCACTGGCCTGGGAGGCAGGTGGGTGAGCGTCTAGGCGTGGACTTCCTGGGTGTCCTCCAGTTTCCAGAGCATCTCCGCCAAGGTGATGGGTGGGTCTGGAGGTCCACTTGGCCAGGGGTCTCCTACCCCTCCTGGACTCCCCGGGCAGGGGGCAGTGCTGTGTGAGGTGGGCTCGAGAGGCACGGATGCTGGTTTGCATGAGAAGGAGGCAGGTGTGTGCGTCTGGCATGTTTTGAAAACTCAGTCTCAGGTCAGGCGAGGTGACTCAGTGATGCTTTGGTCTTCTGTCCTCTGCTTTCTCTGGGTAATTCTCTGGACACCTGTCGTGACAGCACACTTAGCAACTTGCGTGCAGAAGGAACATTCGTTGAGCACATACTCTGCCGGACACCGGTGCCGGTCTGGTGCTCTGTGCATCTTCCTGAGGATGTTTCTAGTAATCTCCAATTTTATAGACAGGGAGACTGAGGCTCAGGCTCTGAGGACTGACAGGCTCCTGATGAGAGTCCGAGGACGCTGTCCCCATGCTGTTGACAGAGGCTGGAGAGGGGTCCTGCCGGCTCCTTGTCCTTGTGCCGTCTCAGCTGACGGCGGCGTAGGCGAGGCCCGGCCCCTCTGCGCGTAGCGGCCCCCGGCAGGAGGGCACGTCTCAGCTCAACTCAGCACGCGTCTCTGCCTTCTCGTGGATTCTTGATCATTTCTCACCTCCTCACCTGCTGTGAGCTCTTTGAGGGCAGGGATCTAATGTGCACTCAAGCCCAGACCCTGAGCAGAGTCTGGGACATGGTGGTCATCTTGCGGGTGGCATGTGATGGACAGGCTGGTTTTGGTACCGGATGAACATGGTGCACCCTGCTCCAGCGGATGTGATTTGCTGCCCTTGCCATGTCCTGCTTCTCAGCACAGAGGGTTGGGGCGGCTGGGCCGGTGAAGGTCAGGAGGCTCAGAGAATGGGTGGTCTTGAGGCCTTTGGGGATGTGCCATCCCAGGGCTCCCGGCTACGAATGGCAGGTGGGGGAATGGAGAAAGCACAGAGCTAACTCTAAGTGTGGGGCTGAGCAGGTGAGGGCGGGGAAGGATGCTGAGGGTGCAACAAGCAGGGTGTGTGGAGATGAAAGAAGCCCTTGCTCCTGCACTGGAGCGGCCAGCAGCCAACTTAGGCCCGTGTGCCCATGCTGAGGTGCTGCGCCTCTGTTGGGTGTGGTTCTGAGGGTTCTCTGGGCTATGAGCATGGCCGGCAGGGCCCTGAGGTGAGCACACCGAGGTCAGAGCACACCAAGGTCAGAGCACACCGAGGTCAGCACTCCCAAGGCTGTGGGCAAAGCACCCCTTTTGGAGCCAGAGGGCCTGCAGTAACCCGGGCTTCATGGATGGCTTGTGATAGGGCATTGGGGCCACCACCAGACTTCTGACGCCTCTTCCTGGGTACAGTGGTGTTAAATGCCAGTTCCTGGGTAGCGGCCTCCCTCGCTGTGGTTGAGATAAAGAGCGTGGGTGGAACTGCAAAGCCCTTGGACAGAGTCATGCCTCTTCTAGCTGCGGCCATGCCCCTGTGTGTCCCCCACAGCCTTGCTGGGAGCAAGGGCAGCCTTTTCCCCGGGGCTGTCAGGGAAAAAGGACACCTGCAGAGGCAGCCCGTCTGGGCGCAAGTCCAGGCTGCTTTCCAAACTGGTTTCCCATCTAAAAGCTAGTGATTATGATCCCTGCTCGACAGGGTTGGCTGAGGGTGAATTATTTCCCGGAAGATTCCTACTTAGAATCCTGGCATATTGTCTGTTCTCCAACAGTTCATTCTATCAACCTAATAAATGTTCACTGAGTGCCAGGCACTGGCGATACAGCAGATAACAAAATAGGCTTCGTGCCCTGGGGGCTCACATCCTGGTTATCCTGGTTGAGAAACACAACAGACACATGTGCGGAGGGGACTGAGGCTGGGAGCAAGAAAGGGGGGAGCAGAAGTCTGGGGACACCCTGTCTTTCCCTTCAGAGTGACCAGTAAGTTCTCTCTAACGAAATAGACCATGATGTAAGTGAGACAGTGAGTTATCAGGGGAAGAACATTCTAGAAGAGGCAACTGATATCAAGGTGCGGTTCACAGGAAGGATGGGTAAGCGTGAGCCTGGAGGGGTGTGAGAAAGGCAGGGAGGAGACCTTGATCCGGGAGGGGTGTTGACCGAGGGTAGGGCCCTGAAGGAAACAAGTTACTGGGGAACATCCTAGAAGAGAGAAGAGAAGCCATGAAGCGACATTGGATTGTTCTGGGCCTTTGTGAGGAGCACCCAAGGGTGCTGTGAGGCTGAAGCACAGTGAGCCAAGGGGGAGTAGCAGGCAGTGAGATCAGAAGCAAATGGGGGTCACATCCGGTAGGGGCTTGGAGGTCACTGAGGATTGTGGTTTTACCCTGCGTGGGATGAGGCCACTTTGTATAGAGCAAAGGGGTTGCTGTGGCCACTGTAGTTCTCATCATGGGGGTGACAGTCAGGGCCCAGCACACCTGTTCTGCAGCCAGGGGACAGCAGGGGCTGGAGTGACCGCAGAAGAGGTGGGAGAGGGCTGCTTTCTGGAGTCAAGTTGAAACAGCACCAGCCAGATGTGCTGCTGGAAGTCCCGAAGAGGGGAGGGGGCAGAGGCAAAAATGCCATGTGGATGGAGCCTGTGCATCTGGAGGGGTGAGCTATGTCTGCTGGGGCGGCGAGGACAGCGGGCGAGCCCGGCGGCTGGGATTCGGGCAGGCGTGGAACAGCAGCTCACGCTGGATGTGTGGAGTGAGGAGCGTGAGCCGTCCTGGTGGCGAGGTCAGGCAGAGGGGCTAGGCCAGGCCGGAGTGCACGGGGACAGTCGCGCAGGGTGTGGCCTGGGCTGAGGCATGTGGAGGAGGCAGAGCCTGGAGGACACGGTCCACGCGGGGCTGGCTGCCCAGCTCCCCCCATGTCCTCCTGCCTCTCCACTCCCCGCAGCAGCAGCGCCCCGCAGGCCCACCGACTGGTCAGAAGCTGCACGAGGCGTGTCCAGCAGAAGAGGTGTGAAATGGGGGTGGCCGCAGCAAGAACGGTGCCGCGGGAGCAGGGCTGGGACTGCGGTTTGGGTACCGCAGCAGAACGGGGCTCACAGCGGCTCCGTTTTCCCAGCCCTGCCCCGGCACGGGTGGTGAGGCCTGTTGGCAGCCGCCCCGCAAGTGGACCAGGGAAACGCGTCCTTGAAGCCTCAGAGGCCAATGCAGGGAGCAGAATGTGAGTGCCTCGCTGAGAGGGACCCCGTCCTGGATTCGGGCTCCTGGCTGGAGGGACGCAGAGATTCGGGACAGAATCAGGGAACTCCAAAGATGCTTCTGGGAGAGAGCAGGGAAGCCCGCGGGGTGTCTGGCCACATAGCCCTCTCAGCCACAGCCCCAGATCTGCCAGGAGAGCAGCACCCCCACCCAGAAGGGTGGTTTTCCACTGGGGCTGGGGCTGTGTCCTCCTGCCTGTCCTGTCTAGGATGACCCTTGGGCTCCGGCGCCTCTTCTAGAAGGTCTTCCTCTGTCGGAGTCAGAGGTGGCAGGAATGGGCTGAAGAACTGGAGCCTCGAGGATGACCTGTCCCACAGCTCCCACCATCTGCGCTGCAGGGCGGTGTTGCAGCCACATGGGCAGCCAGGGTCAGTGGCCACCTCTGTCTGCTCTGCGGGTGCACAGAGCCAAGCGCCATGCCCACGTGCCGTCTCCAGAGTGGTGACGGGAGGGTGCAGCGTGAACGTAAAAACATTCTTTCTTATGTTTTTTGTACAAGAGGACACATCAACGTAATTTATACTTAAATGACTGTGCTGTTTTTCAACTGACGAGGGCCTTGATCAAAAGTAACCTGAAGACCCCCTGCCTTAGAGCAGAAAATCCAGGGCTATTTGTGGAGGGTCTTCTTTTCAGAGCTTCCTGGGGGCCGGTTGGTTCAATAATAACGTCTCAGCACCTTGAGGTAAGAGCTGTGTTTCACACAGGAGCTCGGCAGAAGATTGGAGAGACGGGGCAGGAGCCAAAGTTCTTTTTCCAGGGCTGTGAGTGAACTAGATGGAAGCCGATAGTGACGAAGCTCTGCCCTGCGCATCCCCCCAACACACACACACACACACACACACACACACACCCCTACACTCATTTCCCTTCCTCTCATACGCATGTGTATATGTACACACATACACACAAACACACATGCACATATGTATACATAACATGTAGATATGCAATAATCTAATTGAACAATGCAGGGGTTAAGGGTGCAAACCCCTGCACAGTTAAAAATGCAGGTGTAACTTTTGACTCCCCCAGCACTCAGCTACAGCCCTGCCTTGGACCCGAGAGGCCTGATTTCAAGGCTTCTCCCTTCCTTGCTCAGATACTGAAATCCATGACGCTCAAAGTCCCTTCTCATCAATCGTCTGTATGTGGGGCCCACAACATGCATTCAGCCAACCAGCATCCACGGCTGGTTGCACCCCTGAACAGACCCATAGACGCAGACAGCCAACCCTGTTTATTGAAGGACTCTGTGCCTAAGTGGACCCATGCGGTTCCAGCCTGTGCTGAGGGGTCCACTGAATCAGCACCAGGATATTGGTAATCCATAATACCTCGCGGTGCGTCCTGAGGTGGCCAATGTTAACTGCTTGCTTTGTATCTTTTTTGCACGATTATCCTTTCACATAGGACCATGCACCATTATGCCCATCACATACAGGCTAGTTGTTTTTTAAATATGAATGCTGCCTTCATTCCACATTCCTCTGTATTCTTGGTTTTTGTTTTCCTTTTAATAATGTATTTCAGGGATCCCTGAACCGGGCAGAGATGTATCTAGTTCATTCTTCTTATCATCTGCATAGTATTTTACAGTTTGCGTGTATCTTGATTTAGTAAACCTCATCCCTGTTCATAGATATTTGAGTGGCTTCCCAAGTTTTTCCATAGTCATTGACCCCAGGCAACACCCTGGCTTATATATATATCATGCAAAAGTGGTGCTTTGCTTGCTGTAAGATGGTCCCGAGTGAGCATAGCCCCCACGGGGACAGCCCCGGGAGCGCAGGGCCTGCTGGGCCGCATGCACGATCCTCTTTATTGCACTGAGCTTACGATGCCCTTTGCTCTGCAGAGCCTGTGAGGAGGGTGTGTCCCCTAGCTGCTTTATACACTGGGGCCACCATCCCAAGTGGACACCCAGAGACTGTCAGGATCAGCTGGACAAGGGAGGCTTGGCCTGCCAGGAGAGCAATGAGCTGGGCCTTCCCAGGCCAGGCCCTATCCTAGCGAGGGGCCAGGCTGGTCTGAGCAGGAAGTGTGTGTTCGGGCAGATAAAAGGTCTCCCCACTTCCTCCTGCTCGGCTGTATCTCCAATGGCCTCAGCAAGTGCTCTGGCTGGGTGTGTGGTGTCTGCTCTCCTGGATAGGACACCCGGGTAGGTAGCCTGGTGTTTGGGTTTCTCTGCCAGGCTGGGGGCCCCCCATCTGCCCAGATCTTCTCTTGGGGACGAGCACCCTTCATGGAGGGGGAGCTCCAGGGCCAGGAATCCTGAAGCCACAAAGCCCCTTGGCCAGCCGGTCAGTTCCCACAGCGACTCACTCACAGGTGCCACTGGTGAGTGGCACTATGCTGAGTGGCACTATGCTGCTCCCATGCAGCAAGGGGCTTTTGTCTGACCCCTCCACACCCCCATATCGATTCATCATCCCTCCTCCCAAACTCCTTCCAGAGCCTCTGCACAGGGAAGGTTGTCAGAGGTTGTTCTGCAACCTGCAGTAAGTCCTCAGTGACTCTTGACCAAGGTCAGACCATGAGAGGCAGAACCATGGGGAGCTGTGAGGTGCCCCGGCCTACCTTCACAGCCTTGGCTCTGATGATGAGCCCGTCGTCCTGGGACATCCCAGTGAGCAGGTCCACCTTGGCCCTAGGGGACCTCTGCAGGGCTCTGGCAGGAGCCTCTACGATGTACTGGCCATCAACCACAGGCCCCCAGTAGTGGAAAGGGCCACTCACCGCCAGGAGCTGCATTGAGTGAAAGGGATGGAGGCTGTGAGTTGTGTGGATTTTAAGACAATGGTTCTAGAATAATCAGTAGCATTGCTTTGCTGAAGCTGGGAAAGAAAGGTTGGTCATCCTTTTGGGAGATGAAAGAGCCAGTCAGGCAGGATACCAGGTGCAGGCCCAGGGCTGGAAGGCCAGGTTTCCTCTGAGTACTGGGTTAGTCTCCAGAAGAACTTTCCAGAACCTCTTTACAACAATGGGAAAGCATGTGTCTAGAAGGGTGTGAGAAAGGCAGGAGGAGACTGTGCTGGAGGAAGTGGTGGTGGCCGAGGGCAGGATCCGATAGCATCAGACACCACCTGACCAGCCCACCCATGAGGGCCAGAAGACATGAGAGCCACTCAGGCCTGGGCGTCCAGGCTTGCTGCCTGGGGCTCAAACCCGCAGCCCTGATGGCCAGGTTCCTTCCTGTTCGTACTCCTGCAGTGAGTCAGGGTCAGCCAGAGGCCATGGGTTGTGAGCAGGCCGGAAGAGGAAGCACACGCTGTCCTCTCTAAAGAGGATGGGGCCAGGAGTATCACCAGACCCGGTGCCACCACAGTCCTGGCAGAGGCAAGACCCTTTCCTGTGGTGCATCATTTTATCCTCCTCTATCAGGGCCATGTCATTATTCCCACCTTGTAGATAAATCTACCTGCAGGGACGGGACAGCCTTCCATGTGCATCCAAGGCCAGGACAGGCTGCGGCCCCTGCCCCACACTGGGGTGAGGAAACGCGCGTCCAACTCTGGCTGGTCATCGGTCAGCGAGCAGTCTTGGCTGACCACATCGCCCTTCTAGGCCTGGTTTCCACTGTAAGGTCCCCCAGCCTGGCACACACATGCGCACCTTGGTCTGGGCCTCGTTGAGGGTGCTGGCGGGCGTCTGGCGGAGGCAGGACACCATTCCTGGGATGGGCGAGGTGGGGCAGCCGAGGTCCTTTGCCAAAGCAGCTGCCTGCTGCTGAGCCCTTTCTGGGCTGATGACCGCAGCCGGGGACAGTGCGGAGCCACCCTGGAGGAGAGAGCACGCTCAGAGCCTGCACCAGACCGGCCCCGGCCCCGCGCAGCCACAGCCCCAGCCCACCACAGGGCTCTGCAGCCATCCCCCATGTTCAGGGCCAGGACCCTGGGGGCGCCCTGGTGTGTGGGGGCTTGGGTTGTATCAACATCCTATCAACACACTGTGCCATCTGGAGCGAGTGTCTCCCTAGCCTCAGTTCCTCATCTGTGAAGTGGGGCACGGGGCAGAGAGGTCTTCTCTCTTGGCTATGATGTAAATGGAAGCAAAGGATTGATGATTTCACAAGTGGATCAGAAACGTCCTCTGGGTGGGCGTCCAGGAGAGGTGAAGCTGCAGCACCACCACCCCTGGGCTCCTGCCACAAACAGCTGACCTGGCTGTGGGGAACGCGGGGCTGGGCAGTAGAGGACAGAAATACAGGGAGCTGTTCCAGCAGCGTGAAGGCAATCTGCTCAACGCCGGCTGGCCAGGACTGTCCCCTCTGCGGCCCTAGGAGCTCCGCATTCCAGGAGGGTCAGCAAGGAGCCAGGACACTAGATGGAATCAGGCCATCAGCTCAGAGTGGGAGAGAGCAGAGGGGAGGGTCTTAGCTAGGGAGGGAGCCCAGGCCCATCCTCGGCCACTGGCCTCCACCTCTAGCTCAGACCCAGCTGCTCGGCCGTGCAGCAGGAAAGGCTGAGGACGCGGACTCGCTTGAGAGCTTGCCCTGTTTCCCCCATCGTATGCTCACAGCAGCTCTGACATTAGCCGATGTGACTGTCCCCTCTGCACGAAGATGGAAAGAGAGAAATAAGGAAAGCAAGTCACTGGACCAGGGCCAGATATCTTGCAAGGGGCAGGGCCAGCCTGTGGCTTCAGGAGACTGGGCTGGAGTCTGCTGTCTCCAGGACCCTAGTGGGGAGTAGAAAGTTCTAGTCCTATGACCAGCCTCTTCGTGGGGGCAGCTGGACTTACTGCTAAGATAGTATTCTATATAAATGAATGGCAACAACATTCCCAGATCCCCAAATAACCAAATCATAGCATGTAGGAACATTCTACTTTCAGATAGTGGGGGGAGCCTGCAGCCCCATGGTGAGTCCCTGTGCCCTTGAGCTTCCTCTCCGTTGATGAAGGGTCGGCTCTTCTGAGAACCACTGATGCTCTTTGTCTTAGAGAACACACACACGCACAAGCAAATAGACATTCGCACACACGCACCCATGCATGTTCGTAATTCACATACATCCTCACACATGTATGCTAACATATGTGGTCACGCGTGTATATACATACCTGTAACCTGCATGTATGCATATTTATGTATATTCTCACATGCATGTATGAATATACACATACACACACGGACACACTCACACGCTTATTCACATATACACACTAGTCCAAGGTCAAGGCCCAATGCTCTCAACTGCAAACTGAGCAGGCCATGGCAGGGATGGCTGAGGAGCAGTCCCTGTGCCCTCTGCCTCACAGGTGGGGTGTGGGGGGACATGGATTTGAGGAAGGGGCCTCTGATGTTTGTGACATTCTAAACAGCTATAAAAAGCTGGCTTGGCTGACTTGAGGAAGTGGTAGAACGCGTGGGTGACAGAGACAAGATGGCTTAGAGAACTTTCCTCTCTTTGAGGACTTTGTTTTAATTGATCTTGCTGAAGGAAACCTCGTTCTTCATGGAAAATCAGTGGGTAAACAAGCCAACGGCCAGCTCAGCCCTCACTCTGAAGCCCTCGATTGGAGACAGAGAATGGGGTGCTGTGCAGAGTATTTGCTGAGGGTTTTTGGGGCCAGTTCACACCCAGTTACTTGCTGATGCAGTGGCCTGGGGCAGGGGGCCTGGCACCTGGGGATGGCGACCCCAGCCTTGCGCACAGGACGGGGCCATATCTCGTGGGGTTGTGAAGATGGCTGGGGCTGGGTGCCCTCTCGTGCAGGGAGTGCATCGCACGGGGCCTCACAGGCCCGCTGCAGGCTGGGGGTCAGCCTGCCCTTCATCAGCAGCCCCTAAGCCCCTGCCCACACTTCATCCAGATCTGCTCAAGTTACTAAGAACCGGGAGCTTCCGGCTCGCTGTTTTTGCTTATTTAACTTTAAAAATAGCTTGGGGCAAAACCACAATTGCTGGCCACAGCTTTTTCTTCCTGGAGGTGCCCTGACCTCAGTTAACCATCACTGCCACCACAGAGCCAGGCCTGCTCCCTCAAGCACATGATAATCACACCCAGTCACAGGCAGAAAGACACAGATGCACACTCACACACGCACACTCAGAAACACTCACCCTGGCACACACATTCACACGGAGACACTCCCTCAGAAATACACAGACACACTCAGAAACATATGGACACAACAACACACACAACTACATACAAATGGACACACTCAGATACACACACTCAGAAATATACCAACACAACACACACACCACACACACTCAGACACACTCACAAACTTACATTTAGATACACTCACACACAAACATACAGAGAGGCATACATATTCACAAAAACACTCCCTCACACACACACACACACACTCACACAGAGACACTCCCTCAGAAACACAGACACACACAAACATACTCACAAGCACACAAATTCTCAGAAACACACACTCTGATATACACACCTACACTCACACACAGATACATACACCCATCCTCAGACACAAACTCAGAAGCACGCACGAGTGCGCACACACACACACACACACACACAAACGACTTACAGGAGATGGACCCCAGTGAGTCCCAGGAGGAAGCACTCACGAGACTTCTTCCCCTAAGAAGCTGCCTCTGAGCAAAGCAACAGAAGGGGCTGGTTTCCAGGACAAGGAGGCTGTCCTAGGAGACCCCAGGTCTGCCCTCGGGGGGGTCTGTGAGTCAGAGGAGGTGGGTCTAGGTGGAGTGACCCTGGGGAGGTGCTGGCTCCTCTTCTCCTCTCCTTCCTGGAGACTCCACCCCTCTCCTTTCCCGTGATTCCTCATCTAGGAAGGGCACAGCGACGATGTCTGCCTTATGGGGGTCGGAGGGTGCTGGGAAGCTCAGTGTCTGCCTCGGTGGAGCTGGGTCACGCGGGACCCCACAGAGCCAGGGAGGATCGTGGCTGAGGTGTATGGCCCTGAGGGTTGAAGGAGGCTCAGTGAATGGGCTGCGTCACGTGTGTGGGGTGTGTGTGTGTGTGTGTGTGTGCACAAAATGCTTCCCCTCTAAGCCTCCGTTCCCTCAGCCGTGAAGTGCCACCTCACAGACCAGGAAGGCCTTGTGGAATTCCTGGTGGGGGGCTCGGCAGGGAGCCCCTGCTGCTCACATGTTCTCCTGGCTCCCGCAGCTTGTTCCTCAGTTCCGTTACTACCAGGACTACTGCACGCCTCCTAATTGACTAATTCTACTCTGTCATTCTCTTTAAAACTCTGCAAATAACCCCCTCTGTAAGAAAATAAGGTCGTTCTTCACAAATCGTGACTGACTGCAGGACACCTGCAGGAAGACGAGCCGCCTGATCTCCCCGCGTGCAGGAAGGAGCAGGAGGCGAGCAGCTTAGCTGGGGCTGCTCCTCTCCCGCCCCCCCCTGTGGGGCAGGTGCCAAGCCCCCAGGCTCGCTCCATCTCCATCTTTCCACCTTAAAATTGTGTAACTTTTGGTGAGGATGTAGAGAAAAGGGAACCCAACCCGCAGTTGGAAAGAGTGACCGGTGCAGGCACCATGGAAAACAGCATGTAGCTTCCTCAGAAATTTAAAAGTAGAACTACCAGATGATCTAGCAATTTCACTTCTGAGTATTCCTCTGAAGAAAATGAAAACACTAAAACTAACTTGAGAAGATGTATGTGCCCCCGTGTACATTATTTAAAAAAGCCAAGTGTCCATCCACAGCTGAGTGGATAAAGAGAACTGTTACATATACACATGGATATTATTCAGTCATTAAACAAGAATGGAATCTTGCTATTTAGAATAACGTGGATAGAGACATTAAGGGCATTATGGTAAGTGAAATAAGACATAGAAACACAAATAACTGGGGCCTCCCTGGTGGCGCAAGGGGTTAAAGACAGCACTATCAAGCTATCTGCAGCCACTGTAGCACGAGTTCAATCCCCGGCCAGCGAGCTACCCACATGGCGCGGCAGACCTCTCCTGCCTCGCCCACTGCTCCCCTCAGCAGTCGGTTTCAGTACAGCTGCCTGTTCTGCTCCCCACTCTCTCTGGTGAATCCTCTCACCCCCCACACCTCTGGCTTACACCCCAGTTCTTGTATGCATAAATCTTAAAAAAAAAAAAAGAAATACAAATAACTTATGATCTTATGTATATGTAGATTCAAAAAAAAAAAAAAAAAAAAAAAAAACCCCAAGCTTGCGGATATAGAGGGCAGATTGGTGGTTGTCAGAAGACAGAATCAAAAAGTAAAATTAAATAAATCATATATAAATGTTAAAGTAAATGGATGACGATGTTCATAGCAGCATTATTTACAACAGCTGGGACTTGGAAGCAGCCTACAAGTCCTCTGACAGATGATCAAGATCACACATGGAGTATTACAAAGCCACAAGAAAGGATGAAATGCAGCACAATTGGAGGGAGCTGAGGGAATTAGGTGTGGCAAAGTAAGTCAGAATGATAAAAATATTGGACATTGATACATTTCCCACTTGGTTCCAAAAAGAGTTGTACCTATGTATCAGCTCTCTGTCCATCCATCCATTCAACCATCCATTTATATGTAAGAAATAAGCAAGACCATCTTGGTTTTGAATCTGTCTTCTGCCTTCAGTGGTCCACTGTGGATATCATTCAGTGCGATGCCTGTTCATTCATGAGACAGTCCCTGATGCCAGCATGAGTTGGGGGTTTGGGCTTTTGGGGGAGGGTTGTAGAGAGGCCAGAAGAACCTGCAGGCCATGAAGTATGGCTTCCCTGGAAATCCCAGCTCTGATATGTAGCCGTCTGACTGGCCCCCTCTCTTCCCCTAGAAGAAGGAACATCA